ATCGAACCCACGACCTCCTGTAGACCAGGCGAGGTAGTCAACATCTCACAGGGTCCAGGATCGAACCCTCGATCTCCTGTAGACCAGGCGAGGTAGTCAACATCTCACAGGGGTCGAGATCGAACCCACGACCTCCTGTAGACCAGGCGAGGTAGTCAACATCTCACAGGGTCCAGGATCGAACCCACGACCTCCTGTAGACCAGGCGAGGTAGTCAACATCTCACAGGGTCCGGGATCGAACCCACGACCTCCTGTAGACCAGGCGAGGTAGTCAACATCTCACAGGGTCCGGGATCGAACCCACGACCTCCTGTAGGTCAGGCGAGGTAGTCAACATCTCACAGGGTCCGGGATCGAACCCACGACCTCCTGTAGACCAGGCGAGGTAGTCAACATCTCACAGGGTCTGGGATCGAACCCACGACCTCCTGTAGACCAGGCGAGGTAGTCAACATCTCACAGGGTCCGGGATGGAACCCACGACCTCCTGTAGACCAGGCGAGGTAGTCAACATCTCACAGGGTCTGGGATCGAACCCACGACCTCCTGTAGACCAGGCGAAGTAGTCAACATGTCACAGGGTCCGGGATCGAACCCACGACCGACCTCCTGTAGACCAGGCGAGGTAGTCAACATCTCACAGGGTCCGGGATCGAACCCACGACCTCCTGTAGACCAGGCGAGGTAGTCAACATCTCACAGGGTCCGGGATCGAACCCACGACCTCCTGTAGACCAGGCGAGGTAGTCAACATCTCACAGGGTCCGGGATCGAACCCACGACCTCCTGTAGACCAGGCGAGGTAGTCAACATCTCACAGGGTCTGGGATCGAACCCACGACCTCCTGTAGACCAGGCGAGGTAGTCAACATCTCACAGGGTCCGGGATCGAACCCACGACCTCCTGTAGACCAGGCGAGGTAGTCAACATCTCACAGGGTCCGGGATCGAACCCACGACTTCCTGTAGACCAGGCGAGGTAGTCAACATCTCACAGGGTCCGGGATCGAACCCACGACCTCCTGTAGACCAGGCGAGGTAGTCAACATCTCACAGGGTCTGGGATTGAACCCACGACCTCCTGTAGACCAGGCGAGGTAGTCAACATCTCACAGGGTCCGGGATCGAACCCACGACCTCCTGTACACCAGGCGAGGTAGTCAACATCTCACAGGGTCCGGGATCGAACCCACGACCTCCTGTAGACCAGGCGAGGTAGTCAACATCTCACAGGGTCGAGATCGAACCCACGACCTCCTGTAGACCAGGCGAGGTAGTCAACATCTCACAGGGTCCAGGATCGAACCCACGACCTCCTGTAGGTCAGGCGAGGTAGTCAACATCTCACAGGGTCCGGGATCGAACCCACGACCTCCTGTAGACCAGGCGAGGTAGTCAACATCTCACAGGGTCTGGGATCGAACCCACGACCTCCTGTAGACCAGGCGAGGTAGTCAACATCTCACAGGGTCCGGGATGGAACCCACGACCTCCTGTAGACCAGGCGAGGTAGTCAACATCTCACAGGGTCTGGGATCGAACCCACGACCTCCTGTAGACCAGGCGAAGTAGTCAACATGTCACAGGGTCCGGGATCGAACCCACGACCGACCTCCTGTAGACCAGGCGAGGTAGTCAACATCTCACAGGGTCCGGGATCGAACCCACGACCTCCTGTAGACCAGGCGAGGTAGTCAACATCTCACAGGGTCCGGGATCGAACCCACGACCTCCTGTAGACCAGGCGAGGTAGTCAACATCTCACAGGGTCCGGGATCGAACCCACGACCTCCTGTAGACCAGGCGAGGTAGTCAACATCTCACAGGGTCTGGGATCGAACCCACGACCTCCTGTAGACCAGGCGAGGTAGTCAACATCTCACAGGGTCCGGGATCGAACCCACGACCTCCTGTAGACCAGGCGAGGTAGTCAACATCTCACAGGGTCCGGGATCGAACCCACGACTTCCTGTAGACCAGGCGAGGTAGTCAACATCTCACAGGGTCCGGGATCGAACCCACGACCTCCTGTAGACCAGGCGAGGTAGTCAACATCTCACAGGGTCTGGGATTGAACCCACGACCTCCTGTAGACCAGGCGAGGTAGTCAACATCTCACGGGGTCCGGGATCGAACCCACGACCTCCTGTACACCAGGCGAGGTAGTCAACATCTCACAGGGTCCGGGATCGAACCCACGACCTCCTGTAGACCAGGCGAGGTAGTCAACATCTCACAGGGTCCGGGATCGAACCCACGACCTCCTGTAGACCAGGCGAGGTAGTCAACATCTCACAGGGTCCGGGATCGAACCCACGACCTCCTGTACACCAGGCGAGGTAGTCAACATCTCACAGGGTCCGGGATCGAACCCACGACCTCCTGTAGACCAGGCGAGGTAGTCAACATCTCACAGGGTCTGGGATTGAACCCACGACCTCCTGTAGACCAGGCGATTGCGAACGGGGTCACTTATCCGCTGTACGCTTTAAAAAGCGCGTTGCCGCCTATCCGTGTGTGAATTCTAATCCGGGGGGAGGGGGGGACGTAGTGAGGGGGGGGCGGGCCGGTAACTCAGATGTGGGCGTGGCCTGAGAGAGATGCCACGCCCCCCCGTCCTTGGCTAAGTGACGTCACCGCCGCAGGTGGGGGGGGGGGGGTCAGCGGGTGCGGTCACGTGAGCCTCGAGCGCGTGACCGCGCGCGCGCGCGTGACGCACACACACAAAAACCGCCTCACCGCCGCGGCGACTCCTTCCGCGGCGGCCGCGCTATTTAATTATTTATCATAAAATAGTGCCGCCGCGTAATCGGCTCACGCGGTGAGCAAAAGGTCGAAATGCGCCGTTTTTGTTGTTGTTCGACTCCACGGACGAGGAGTGAAATTATTGGGGGGCCCGGGCCCCCCCCCCTTTCCCCCCTCAACAACAGCAGCGATGCTGCCGCTGCTGTTGTTGTGAGCGGGGTGGTGGGTGCGGTTGTATTCATGCGCCGCGCAGTGGTGGGTGGGGGGTGGTGGTGGGGGACTACTTTTTTTACTGAGGTCAATAAGATTTTTCAACGCGTGGTTAATCACGAGAATAAGATTCCAATGTTAAAGTCTCTACCCATAGACCCCAATGTTAAAGTCTCTACCCATAGACCCCAATGTTAAAGTCTCTACCCATAGACCCCAATGTTAAAGTGTCTACCCATAGACTCCAATGTTAAAGTGTCTACCCATAGACTCCAATGTTAAAGTCTCTACCCATAGCCTCCAATGTTAAAGTGTCTACCCATAGACTCCAATGTTAAAGTCTCTACCCATAGACCCCAATGTTAAAGTCTCTACCCATAGACCCCAATGTTAAAGTGTCTACCCATAGACTCCAATGTTAAAGTGTCTACCCATAGACTCCAATGTTAAAGTCTCTACCCATAGCCTCCAATGTTAAAGTGTCTACCCATAGACTCCAATGTTAAAGTCTCTACCCATAGACCCCAATGTTAAAGTCTCTACCCATAGACTTCAATGTTAAAGTCTCCCATAGCCCCAATGTTAAAGTGTCTACCCATAGACTCCAATGTTAAAGTCTCTACCCATAGACCCCGATGTTAAAGTGTCTACCCATAGACTCCAATGTTAAAGTGTCTACCCATAGACTCCAATGTTAAAGTCTCTACCCATAGGCTCCAATGTTAAAGTCTCTACCCATAGACTCCAATGTCAAAGTCTCTACCCATAGACTCCAATGTTAAAGTCTCTACCTATAGACCCCAATGTTAAAGTCTCTACCCATAGACCCCAATGTTAAAGTCTCTACCCATAGACTCCAATGTTAAAGTCTCCATAGACTCCAATGTTAAAGTCTCGCATAGACTCCAATGTTAAAGTCTCCCATAGACCCCAATGTTAAAGTCTCCCATAGACTCCAATGTTAAAGTCTCCATAGACCCCAATGTTAAAGTCTCCCATAGACTCCAATGTTAAAGTCTCCCATAGACTCCAATGTTAAAGTCTCCATAGACTCTAATGTTAAAGTCTCCCATAGACTCCAATGTTAAAGTCTCCAATAGACTCCAATGTTAAAGTCTCCCATAGACTCCAATGTTAAAGTCTCCATAGACCCCAATGTTAAAGTCTCCCATAGACTCCAATGTTAAAGTCTCCCATAGACTCCAATGTTAAAGTCTCCGCAGACCCCAATGTTAAAGTCTCCCATAGACTCCAATGTTAAAGTCTCCCATAGACTCCAATGTTAAAGTCTCCATAGACCCCAATGTTAAAGTCTCCCATAGACTCCAATGTTAAAGTCTCTACCCATTGACTCCAATGTTAAAGTCTCCATAGACTCCAATGTTAAAGTCTCCATAGACCCCAATGTTAAAGTCTCTCATAAACTCCAATGTTAAAGTCTCCATAGACCCCAATGTTAAAGTCTCCATAGACTCCAATGTTAAAGTCTCTCATAGACTCCAATGTTAAAGTCTCCATAGACCCCAATGTTAAAGTCTCCATAGACTCCAATGTTAAAGTCTCCATAGACCCCAATGTTAAAGTCTCCATAGACTCCAATGTTAAAGTCTCCATAGACCCCAATGTTAAAGTCTCTCATAGACTCCAATGTTAAAGTCTCCATAGACCCCAATGTTAAAGTCTCCATAGACCCCAATGTTAAAGTCTCTACCCATAAACCCCAATGAGGGACGGCGCGTGACCTCATTAACATAATCATAAGAGAGGGGGAGGGCACGTGACCTCATTAACATATTCATGAGAGAGGGGGGGCACGTGACCTCATTAACATATTCATGAGAGGGAGGCGCGTGCTCTCATCAACATTCATAATTGAGAGGGGGGGGGGCGTCGGCATGCGGGTGACGTCACCGAAGTGGGCGTAGACCGGGTAACGACTCATGAATATTCATGAGGTGGGCGGGTCCGGTCACCGGAAATCTCCTTATATGGTCAGGCGGCTCCACCGGAAGTGGCGAGGCGGGGCAGAACGAAACCGGAAGCTGCTTCCCGCCATTTCAACTTCCTCCAGTAGCAGCATCAGCAGCAGCAGCAGTGTGAGGCGATCTTCGGAGCAGCGATGAAGTGGCACTATAAAGAGGAGCACCCGTTCGAGAAGAGGCGGTCTGAGGGGGAGAAGATACGCAAGAAGTACCCGGACCGCGTCCCGGTAAGAGACACGGACGGAGAACGACGGCGATTAAAAAAAAAAAATATTTGTCGGTTGGGACGGGACGGGGGGGGGGGGGTCGGCCTCGCCTAGTTTCGCTCGCGGGGAAGCCTGAGCTGGGCCGCCCGCAGAAACCAACCGCCGCCGCCCTCGACCCCCCCCGTCACTAATATTACTATTGATGGTAGGCTTATACGACTGGTTGTTATTATTACGGTTTTGTTACGCTAATGACGCGGGCTTGGCGGTCAGAATGGCGGCTGTTTGGCGTTTTACCGCCGCTGTCGGGAGCGTCGTCACGACCAGCGAGACTGCGATGGCTGCCGTCATCCAGCAGTTGATAGACCCTGGCTGGTGGTGACGTCATCCAGCAGTGGATGACGTAATCATCCAGCAGTTGATAGACCCTGGCTGGTGGTGGTGACGTCATCCAGCAGTGGATGACGTCATCATCCAGCAGTTGATAGACCCTGGCTGGTGGTGACGTCATCCAGCAGTGGATGACGTAATCATCCAGCAGTTGATAGACCCTGGCTGGTGGTGGTGACGTCATCCAGCAGTGGATGACGTCATCATCCAGCAGTTGATAGACCCTGGCTGGTGGTGGTGACGTCATAATACAGCAGTGGATGACGTCATCATCCAGCAGTTGATAGACCCTGGCTGGTGGTGGTGGTGACGTCATAATACAGCAGTGGATGATGTCGTCATCCAGCAGTTGATAGTCCCTGGCTGGTGGTGACGTCATCATCCAGCAGTGGATGATGTCATCATCCAGCAGTTGATAGACCCTGGCTGGTGGTGGTGGTGACGTCATAATACAGCAGTGGATGATGTCGTCATCCAGCAGTTGATAGTCCCTGGCTGGTGGTGACGTCATCATCCAGCAGTTGATAGTCCCTGGCTGGTGGTGACGTCATCATCCAGCAGTTGATAAACCCTGGCTGGTGGTGGTGGTGACGTCATAATACAGCAGTGGATGATGTCGTCATCCAGCAGTTGATAGACCCTGGCTGGTGGTGACGTCATCATCCAGCAGTTGATAGACCCTGGCTGGTGGTGGTGACGTCATCATCCAGCTGTTGATAGACCCTGGCTGGTGGTGGTGACGTCATCATCCAGCTGTTGATAGACCCTGGCTGGTGGTGGTGACGTCATCATCCAGCAGTTGATAGACCCTGGCTGGTGGTGGTGACGTCATCATCCAGCTGTTGATAGACCCTGGCTGGTGGTGACGTCATCATCCAGCAGTTGATAGACCCTGGCTGGTGGTGGTGACGTCATCATTCAGCTGTTGATAGACCCTGGCTGGTGGTGACGTCATCATCCAGCAGTTAATAGACCCTGGCTGGTGGTGACGTCATAATACAGCAGTTGACAGACCCTGGCTGGTGGTGGTGACGTCATCATCCAGCTGTTGATAGACCCTGGCTGGTGGTGACGTCATCATCCAGCAGTTGATAGACCCTGGCTGGTGGTGGTGGTGACGTCATCATCCAGCTGTTGACAGACCCTGGCTGGTGGTGGTGACGTCATAATCCAGCAGTGGATGATGTCATCATCCAGCAGTGGACAGACCTTGGCTGGTGATGATGTCGTCATCCAGCAGTTGATAGACCCTGGCTGGTGGTGGTGGTGACGTCATAATCCAGCAGTTGACATGCCCTGGCTGGTGGTGATGTCGTCATCCAGCAGTGGATGATGTCGTCATCCAGCAGTTGATAGACCCTGGCTGGTGGTGATGGTGACGTCATCATCCAGCAGGGGACAGACCCTGGCTGGTGGTGGTGGTTTTATCTGAACCTGCCCTGGGCCTCTCCTAGGTCAGCTCGGCCTCAAATGATAAGCCGCGTGACGTCAACATCGCTAGCACTGGGGGAGAGACAAAGACGGCCGGGAGGGCGTGGTCCTGACAGCACTTGCCCCTACAGCCCACTAGAGGCTACACGGGGGATCTTTGTCTGTGTGTAGGTGCTACTGACAGCACTTGCCCCGACAGCCTGCTAGAGGCTACCTGGGGGACCTTTGTGTGTAGGTGCTACTGACAGCACTTGCCCCTACATTCCACTAGAGGCTACCTGGGGGAGCTGTGTCTGTGTGTAGGTGCGCTCGAACCATCGATTTGATGAGTCGGCACCATTGGCTGCTGTGTTGATGCTCACGGCTTTTTGCCGGATTGTAAGATCCCACTCGACCAGTCTCACCCACCCACTCACCCACCCGCTCACCCACCCACTCACCAACTCACTCATCTGCTCACCCACCCACTCGCACACTCACCCGCACACTCACTCACCCGCACACTCACCCACCCGCTCACCAACTCGCCCACACACTCACTCACCCGCACACTCACCCACCCACACACTCACCCACCCACACACTCACCCACTCACCGACTCGCCTACTCACTCACTCACCCGCACACTCACTCACCCACTCACTCACCCGCTCACACACTCACTCACCCACTCGCTCATCTACTCACCCGCCCACTGACACACCCACTCACTTACCCACTCACCCACCCACTCACTCACCCACTCACTCACTCACCCACTCACCCACCCACTCACTCACCCACCTGCTCACTCACACACTCACTCTCCCACTCACCCACTCGCTCACCTACTTACCCGCCCACTGACACACCCACTGACACACCCACTCGCTCACCCACTCACACACCCACACATCCACTCACTCACCCACCCACCCACTCACTCACCCACTCACCCACCCACTCACCCACCCACTCACTCACCCACCTGCTCACTCACACACTCACTCTCCCACTCACTCACCTACTTACCCGCCCAATGACACACCCACTGACACACCCACTCGCTCACCCACTCACACACCCACACATCCACTCACTCACCCACCCACCCACTCACCCACCCACTCACCCACCCACTCACTCACCCACCTGCTCACTCACACACTCACTCTCCCACTCACTCACCTACTTACCCGCCCACTGACACACCCACTGACACACCCACTGACACACCTACTCGCTCACCCACTCACTCACTCACTCACTCACCCACCTGCTCACTCACACACTCACTCACCCACTCACCCACCCACTCACTCACCCACCTGCTCACTCACACACTCACTCTCCCACTCGCTCACCTACTTACCCGCCCAGTGACACACCCACTGACACACCCACTGACACACCCACTCGCTCACCCACTCACACACCCACACATCCACTCACTCGCACACACCCACACGCGCAGAGAGGGAGTGAGCAAGCGACGTAATTGTAACGTAAACAACAACACGTGTGGGAGGAGTTGGCCTGACCCTGACCTTAATACTCGTCACGTGGGCGAGGGAGATGTTGACTACCTCGCCTGGTATACAGGAGGTCGTGGGTTCGATCCCGGACCCTGTGTGATGTTGACTATCTCGCCTGGTCGACAGGAGGTCGTAGATTAAATTCCAGACTCTGTGAGATGTTGACTACCTCGCCTGGTATACAGGAGGTCGTGGGTCTGATCCCAGACCCTGTGAGATGTTGACTACCTCGCCTGGTATACAGGAAGTCGTGGGTTTGATCCCGGACCCTGTGAGATGTTGACTACCTCGCCTGGTCTACAGGAGGTCGTGGGTATGATCCCGGACCCTGTGAGATGTTGACTACCTCGCCTGGTCTACAGGAGGTCGTGGGTTCGATTCCGGATCCTGTGAGATGTTGACTACCTCGCCTGGTATACAGGATGTCGTGGGTTCGATCCCGGACCCTGTGAGATGTTGACTACCTCGCCTGGTCTACAGGATGTCGTGGGTTCGATCCCGGACCCTGTGAGATGTTGATTACCTCGCCTGGTCTACAGGAGGTCGTGGGTTCGATCCCAGACCCTGTGAGATGTTGACTACCTCGCCTGGCCTACAGGAGGTCGTGGATTTGATCCTGGACCCTGTGAGATGTTGACTACCTCGCCTGGTCTGCACTTGCCCCTACAGGCTGTAAGAGGCTACACGGTGGATCTTTGTGTACCAACGTATCTGTGTCTCCGTGTCTATTTGTGTCCGTGTCTATCTGTGTCCTTGTATGTCTCTGTGTGTGTCTGTGTGTCTATTTACGTCTGTTTGTGTATTTTCTAAGCTGTGTGTCTGTGTGCGTGTGTATCTGTGTGTATCTCTCTGTCTGTGTGTGTCTCTGTGTGTCTCTCTGTGTGCCTTTGTGTGTCTCTCTGTGTGCCTCTGTGTGTGTCTCTGTCTGTGTGTGTCTCTGTGTATCTCTGTGTGTGTCTCTGTGTGTGTGTCTCTCCGTGTGCGCATGTCTATTTGTGTCCTAAGACACATGAAACCTGGGTTCAATCCCTGGGTCTGCGTGTCTCTCTCTATCACGATGGCCGTGTCGGAGACACTGAGAGTCTGGGTTCAATCCCTGGGTCTGGGTGTCTCTCTCTGTCACGATGGCCGTGTCGGAGACACTGAGAGTTCAATCCCTGAGTCTCCATTTTAGGAGGTTCTGGTTCAAGCAGTTGTATCAAGTATCAAGATGATGATGATGATGATGATAAATTATCAAATAGTTTGCGTGGTGAATGTATAGTTTACACTTGCCTTGCAATGGCACTGTGTGTGTGTGGCGAGTCTCAGGGTCTCTGTGTGGTGGGTCTCTGTGTGGTGAGTATGTGGGTCTCTGTGTGGTGAGTCTGTGGGTCTCTGTGTGAGTGGTGAGTCTATGGCTCTCTGTGTGAGTGGTGAGTCTGTGGGTCTCTGTGGTGAGTCTGTGGGTCTCTGTGTGAGTGGTGAGTTTGTGGGTCTCTGTGGTGAGTTTGTGGGTCTCTGTGGTGAGTCTGTGGCTCTCTGTGTGAGTGGTGAGTTTGTGGGTCTCTGTGGTGAGTCTGTGGGTCTCTGTGTGAGTGGTGAGTATGTGGGTCTCTGTGAGTGGTGAGTCTGTGGGTCTCTGTGGTGAGTTTGTGGGTCTCTGTGTGAGTCTATGGCTCTCTGTGTGAGTGGTGAGTTTGTGGGTCTCTGTGGTGAGTCTATGGGTCTCTGTGTGAGTCTATGGCTCTCTGTGTGAGTGGTGAGTTTGTGGGTCTCTGTGTGGTGAGTCTGTGGGTCTCTGTGTGAATGGTGAGTCTATGGGTCTCTGTGTGGTGAGTCTGTGAGTCTCTGTGTGAGTGGTGAGTCTATGGCTCTCTGTGTGAGTGGTGAGTTTGTGGGTCTCTGTGTGGTGAGTCTGTGGGTCTCTGTGTGGTGAGTGTGTGAGTCTCTGTGTGAGTGGTGAGTCTGTGGGTCTCTGTGTGAGTGGTGAGTATGTGGGTCTCTGTGTGAGTGGTGAGTCTGTGGGTCTCTGTGGTGAGTCTGTGGGTCTCTGTGTGAGTGGTGAGTTTGTGGGTCTCTGTGGTGAGTCTGCGGGTCTCTGTGTGAGTCTATGGCTCTCTGTGTGAGTGGTGAGTTTGTGGGTCTCTGTGGTGAGTCTGTGGGTCTCTGTGTGAGTGGTGAGTTTGTGGGTCTCTGTGGTGAGTCTGCGGGTCTCTGTGTGAGTCTATGGCTCTCTGTGTGAGTGGTGAGTTTGTGGGTCTCTGTGGTGAGTCTGTGGGTCTCTGTGTGAGTGGTGAGTATGTGGGTCTGTGTGAGTGGTGAGTCTGTGGGTCTCTGTGGTGAGTCTGTGGGTCTCTGTGTGAGTGGTGAGTTTGTGGGTCTCTGTGGTGAGTCTGCGGGTCTCTGTGTGAGTGGTGAGTCTATGGGTCTCTGTGTGGTGAGTCTGTGAGTCTCTGTGTGAGTGGTGAGTCTATGAGTCTCTATGATGACACGGTGTCTCTCTCTGTCTCCCCCCCCCCCCCCCCCCGTGCCCTGCAGGTGATCGTGGAGAAGGCCCCGAAGGCCCGGATAGGCGACCTTGACAAGAAGAAGTACCTGGTGCCCTCCGACCTCACCGTGGGCCAGTTCTACTTCCTGATCCGCAAGAGGATCCATCTCCGTGCGGAGGACGCCCTGTTCTTCTTCGTGAACAACGTCATCCCGCCCACCAGCGCCACCATGGGGCAGCTGTACCAGGCACGGTGCACGCACGCCCAGAGACTCACTCGGACAGACGCAGACTCACACAGACACAGACTCACTCGCACAGACACAGACTCACTCACACAGAGACTCACAGACTCACCTCATAGAGACCCATAGACTCACCACACAGAGACCCATAGACTCACCACTCACACAGAGACCCATAGACTCACCACTCACACAGAGACCCACAGACTCACCACACAGAGACCCATAGACTCACCACTCACACAGAGACCCACAGACTCACCACATAGTAACCCACAGACTCACCACACAGAGACCCACAGACTCGCCACACAGAGACCCACAGACTCACCACACAGAGACCCACAGACTCACCACACAGAGACCCACAGACTCACCACACAGAGACCCACAGACTCACCACACAGAGACCCACAGACTCAACACACAGAGACCCACAGACTCACCACACAGAGACCCACAGACTCACCACACAGAGACCCACAGACTCACCACACAGAGACCCACAGACTCACCACACAGAGACTCACAGACTCACCACACAGAGACCCACAGACTCACCACACAGAGACCCACAGACTCACCACACAGAGACCCACAGACTCACCACACAGAGACCCACAGACTCACCACACAGAGACCCACAGACTCATCTCACCACGCAGAGACCCACAGACTCACCACACAGAGACCCACAGACTCACCACAAAGACCCACAGACTCACCACACATAGACCCACAGACTCACCACACAGAGACCCACAAACTCACCACACAGAGACCCACAGACTCACCACACAGAGACCCACAGACTCACCACACAGAGACCCACAGACTCACCACACAGAGACCCACAGACTCACCACATAGAGACCCACAGACTCACCACACGACACAGAGACCCACAGACTCACCACACAGAGACCCACAGACTCACCACACAGAGACCCACAGACTCACCACACAGAGACCCACAGACTCACCACACAGAGACCCACAGACTCACCACACAGAGACCCACAGACTCAACACACAGAGACCCACAGACTCACCACACAGAGACCCACAGACTCACCACACAGAGACCCACAGATTCACCACACAGACCTACAGACTCACCACACAGAGACCTACAGACTCACCACACAGAGACCCACAGACTCACCACACAGAGACCCACAGACTCACCACACAGAGACCCACAGACTCACCACACAGAGACCCACAGACTCACCACACAGAGACCCACAGACTCACCACACAGAGACCCACAGACTCACCACACAGAGACCCACAGACTCACCACACAGAGACCCACAGACCCACACAGACCACAGACCCACCACAGAGACCCACAGACTCACCACACAGAGACCCACAGACTCACCACAAAGACCCACAGACTCACCACACAGAGACTCACAGACTCACCACACATAGACCCACAGACTCACCACACAGAGACCCACAGACTCACCACACAGAGACCCACAGACTCACCACACAGAGACCCACAGACTCACTACACAGAGACCCACAGACTCACCACACAGAGACCCACAGACTCACCACACAGAGACCCACAGACTCACCACATAGAGACCCACAGACTCACCACACGACACAGAGACCCACAGACTCACCACACAGAGACCCACAGACTCACCACACAGAGACCCACAGACTCACCACACAGAGACTCACAGACTCACCACACAGAGACCCACAGACTCACCACACAGAGACCCACAGACTCACACAGACACAGACTCAAACAGAGATCCATAGACTCACTCCCCGTGTCTCTCTCCCCGTGTCTCTCTCACCGTGTCTCTCTCACCGTGTCTCTCTCCCCGTGTCTCTCTCCCCGTGTCTCTCTCCCCGTGTCTCTCTCCCCGTGTCTCTCTCACCGTGTCTCTCACCGTGTCTCTCTCACCGTGTCTCTCTCCCCGTGTCTCTCTCACCGTGTCTCTCTCCCCGTGTCTCTCTCCCCGTGTCTCTCTCCCCGTGTCTCTCTCACCGTGTCTCTCACCGTGTCTCTCTCACCGTGTCTCTCTCACCGTGTCTCTCTCACCGTGTCTCTCTCACCGTGTCTCTCTCACCGTGTCTCTCTCCCCGTGTCTCTCTCACCGTGTCTCTCTCACCGTGTCTCTCACCGTGTCTCTCACCGTGTCTCTCTCCCCGTGTCTCTCTCACCGTGTCTCTCTCCCCGTGTCTCTCTCCCCGTGTCTCTCTCCCCGTGTCTCTCACCGTGTCTCTCACCGTGTCTCTCTCACCGTGTCTCTCTCCCCGTGTCTCTCACCGTGTCTCTCTCACCGTGTCTCTCTCACCGTGTCTCTCTCCCCGTGTCTCTCTCACCGTGTCTCTCACCGTGTCTCTCTCACCGTGTCTCTCTCTCACCGTCTCTCTCTCCCCGTGTCTCTCTCCCCGTGTCTCTCTCCCCGTGTCTCTCTCCCCGTGTCTCTCTCCCCGTGTCTCTCTCCCCGTGTCTCTCTCACCGTGTCTCTCACCGTGTCTCTCACCGTGTCTCTCTCACCGTGTCTCTCTCACCGTGTCTCTCTCACCGTGTCTCTCACCGTGTCTCTCTCCCCGTGTCTCTCTCACCGTGTCTCTCTCACCGTGTCTCCCTCACGTGTCTCCCTCACGTGTCTCCCTCACGTGTCTCTCTCACCGTGTCTCTCTCCCCGTGTCTCTCACTGCGTGTCTCTCTCACCGTGTCTCTCTCTCACCGTGTCTCTCTCACCGTGTCTCTCTCACCGTGTCTCTCTCTCACCGTGTCTCTCTCCCCGTGTCTCTCTCACCGTGTCTCTCTCACCGTGTCTCTCTCACCGTGTCTCTCTCTCACCGTGTCTCTCTCACCGTGTCTCTCTCACCGTGTCTCTCTCTCACCGTGTCTCTCTCACCGCGTCTCTCCCCGTGTCTCTCCCCGTGTCTCTCTCACCGTGTCTCTCTCACCGTGTCTCCTCACCGTGTCTCTCTCACCGTGTCTCTCTCACCGTGTCTCTCTCACCGTGTCTCTCTCACCGTGTCTCTCTCACCGTCTCTCTCTCTCCTCCGTCTCTCTCACCGTGTCTCACTCCCGTGTCTCTCTCTCACCGTGGTCTCTCTCACCGTGTCTCTCTCACCGTGTCTCTCACCGTGTCTCTCTCACCGTGTCTCTCTCACCGTGTCTCTCTCACCGTGTCTCTCTCCCCGTGTCTCTCTCACCGTGTCTCACTCCCCGTGTCTCTCTCCCACCGTGTCTCTCTCCCCGTGTCTCTCTCACCGTGTCTCACTCCCCGTGTCTCT